CTTTATTTCTTGGAGATTTCTCCATTATCAGTGCTCTCTCTTTTTTTTTAATAACACAAACTCTTTTTATTATGCTCTCTTGCTGGTCATTTCATACCTGCAATGAAAAGCAAAAATATAGTCTCTTAGGAAGCCCAGGGCTCAAAAGATTCCAATTGGCTATTACTTACTATTTTTTTTTTTTAATCTGCTTTTGTGTACCAGGGTTCATGTTGGGGGTTGGCTGGTGATGCTCTGAAATGTTCAAGGCAGCCTTCTACCTGGGCTCGTTCGTTCTTTTTTTTTTTTTTTTTTTTAATAATTTTATTTATTTACTTTTTTTCCCCCAAAGCCCCAGTAGATAGTTGTATGTCATAGCTGCACATCCTTCTAGTTGCTGTACGTGGGATGCAGCCTCAGCATGGCTGGAGAAGCGGTGCGTCGGTGTGCACCTGGGATCCGAACCCCGGGCCGCCAGCAGCGGAATGCGCGCACTTAACCGCTAAGCCACGGGGCTGGCCCTGGGTTCTTTCTTTAGTTGGATTACATCTATCTAGAAAAAAAAGCAAGCCACACATGAGTGGGGGCTGGGGTGGCTGCGCAGTGGTGGACGTGGCTCTCCTGCGAGTACTCGGCCACGGGGCTTCTAAAGTAAGAGTCTGTCCGCCATGCGGAACTGAATCCAGTGGTCTGGGCTGCCTTGAGAACCTCACTTGCAGAGGCGGATGGTGCCTCAATGGCTGCAGCCTGGGGTGGAAGGTGCGGGTGCTGACTGCTGGGCGGGGAGCCCTCTGACAAAGGGAGCCTCCTCCTTGTGTGTCTGTGTGTGTTTTGGACCTTGCCATCTCCTTCCTTGTATGTCACATGGAATCCTGGAAATCACTTCTCTAGACTTCAGATTTCATCCTTTCCCAGTGGAAACTACGAACCCCTTTCCTGAGTTGGGTGTAGCGGGCTTGGCTTTGAAAGCAGCACTGGGGAGTCTTAGGGTGGTGTACGTGGCACCACCTGCTGGCAGGCACCCGGGAGCGTGGCTCCTGCTCTTTCGTTGTCACACTGAATAGCTGGTTGACGGCGATGGATGGGAGCGGGGCAACCTGCCCGAAGCAAGGCCTGGAGGCTCCAGGAGGCCACGGCAGCGGGCACGCTGCGGCAGGCTTGGGGTTCGTGGACTGGGTGAGAGCCCTGTGTCTGCGCACACTCTCAGGGCTGTGCTGTTGTGACCGCCCCCAGCCGAAGGCAGAGGCTGAGGGACTCCCCGTGTCCATTGCCGTCACTCCTGTGCTGTCAGGGCTGACACGGGGCGGCACCTGAGGACAGGAGTCAGACAGGAGCCAGAGGGCACTGGCTTTTGTCCATTTCAGGCTTGATGGGAGCTGTGGACACACCCCCTGATCTGTGTGACCAGATGACGGCGGATCACAGTGCCCACCACGCCCACCCTGAGCAACCAGAGGGAGCCAGCCCCTGGGTGGGCTGGGATAGGTGGGCCTTCGTGGATATGGGTGCCAGCTGGGCTTCCAGAGGCCAGGGCAGCAGGGAGCTGGGGGGGCGGGGCCTGGTCGACACACGGTGGGGGCGAGGTGGAGCAGTCTGCCAGGTGCTGGGGCTTCAACTAGCATTTTCTTACTAGACCTGACGGCGTTTTCTCACCATGTTCAGGATGGCTACAGTCTGCTGGGCAGAGAAGGGCACTGCACGAAGGTAGATTTGTGTTTTGGCGAGAACATTCTGTAATCCAACCTTGACGCCCACGTTTTGCTTTGAGTGTTCCAGAGGGACTTTGGCCAGAAAGCGTGCCTCGGACGCCGACAGCAAGGCGTCGTCCCGGCCTCACTTTGACATCAGCAGGACACACAGCTGCCTTGGCGGTGCCTCCTCTTCAGGCCTCTCCCGCCTCTGCTCCTCTCTCCCCTCTGCCTCTCTTGCCCGAGGAGCTTGAGAACACAGAGGAATTCCCGGGGCCAGGAATGTTCCTCCCGTCTGCACACGGGGGGACAGGCAGCCTTAGCAGTGACCGTCATCCTCTGTGACTCACCCAGCCAAGGGAAACCCTGCCCCTTAGGTCCGATTGTTCGCCGGCGGTGGCCTCGGCAGTGCTGAATCCACCTGGGAGGAGTGACTGACGTCACCTCCTCCCTCCCCTCTGGGAACTAAAACCCAAGGGAGAGACCCCACAAAGGCCTTCAGATGGGAAACCCGACTTTCCTCATTTCATAAACTTCCGGTGAATTCTTACAGAAACGGCTCATTGACTCTTCCTGGAAAGGCAGCCCTGACCACTGGCACACTCGCCAGCGTCCCAAGATCAGGAGGCTTCTTGTCCGCCCCCCAGGGAACGACTTCTCCCCAGGGCACCAGTCAGTCAGGGCCTGTGGTTTAATTAGGAGGCTCCCTGCGCCAGTGTAATGACAGCTCCGTTTTCAGGATAGAGAGTTCCCTCTACCTGAGT